CCGGCAACAGGCCTCTGAGAACGTGTAGGTGTTCGAGGTGGGCTGACTTCTGAAAATGCATGTTTGACAGGCGACGGTGGCAGCGGAACCTTTGTGGGAGATGCACTAGCCGCAATGAACGAGCTCCTTTTCTTTGGAGAGTCGGGTTGAGGACGGCTTGATTTCATGACCCCCTCGTGTGGCTTGTCCTGAAAATTCCAGGTCGTGGTATTGTGGTTCCTGGTATTTGTATCGGCCTCCTTCATCGGGTCCCTAGCTGTTGTGCGTCCTACAGGGCGCACAGTGCCAAAGTCCCAGAGGTCTTCCTCATGTTCGCGATCTTTGTCATCCGACGGGAGATCTTGTGCGCAGTCCTCATCCACGCCGCCATTTTGGACGCCATTACGTATCTGCCATCCTTCATAGCGCTCGATCAACTCCGTCAGATAAGTCGTTCGCCTTGCTCGCTTGACAAATGGGTGCTCGAGTAACTCTTTGGCCGACGGCCTTTCCCTGGGGTCACGCCGCAAACAGAGCTCGACAAAGTTCTTGAACGTCTTGCTGAAAGGTCCCTGAAGCGTGGGAGGAGGATTCTTAGGAATCAAGAACAAGACCTTCATCGGATGGATGTCGGAGTAAGGTGGTTCTCCCTGCGCCAACTCTATGGCAGTGATTCCCAGAGACCAAATGTCCGCTTTATAATCATACCCCGACTGTTTGATGACCTCTGGGGCCATCCAGAAAGGGGTCCCCACGAAGGTGTTCTTCTTTGTCATAGTTGCTGAGAGCTGGCTAGAAACACCAAAATCCGCGAGCTTCACCTGGCCGTTGGAAGTGAGAAGGATATTTGCAGCTGTCCGAATTGTCAGCTTCCCAATAGAGGCTCAAATGAAGATCGCGATGTACCTTTGACGTCGCGATGCAATTTCTTATCGGTATGCAGATAATCCAGGCCACGAAGCAACTCTCGCATGATTATCATGATATAGTCCTCCGGAATTGGCCCCGGGCGAAGAAGATCGCTGCAACTACCCCCAGAACAAAATTCCATGACAATCCACAGATGAGAACCCTTGAGAAAAGAGCCATGATACTTCGTAACATATGGAGAGTCGAGTTCGGATAAGATGGCAATTTCCTGGATAATATCTTCGACTTCGTCTTCAGCATTTTCGACATCAATGACCTTGATAGCGACAGAATTGCCGGTACGTTTATCGACCCTTAATTGCAAAAAGACGAACATAGTCAGCTAATTCGATGATCAGGTAGAAAACTGGGCACGGCAGCATACCCTTTGTAAACTCGTCCAAAGCTCCCACCACCTACGACAACATCAAGTTAGCAAAGGCGGCTCCGATCAATGAAGTTCGATATACTAGGGACTGATACGCACCAATGCAGTTTTGCCTCATGTAAATGGTCTCAGGATCTACCATGCCCTCCATTTTCGCAGAACTATGAGCAGCCGATCACAAGAAGAATATAAGCTCTTGGGGAGACACTGTAACAGATGACCAACGATTAGCCAGTTCACAAAGCAATTGTCAATCAGTCGCCTGCCGAATGACTTTGAGCGCAATGAAATAACAAGCGTCTGTATCAAGGGCCTCTTTCATCACAAAAGCCTGGGGAGATACATCATTCACCGAGAGTCAATTACATACCAATCGCCTCGAACAGGCTAGGTGCGTGATTTGCGAATCGAGGGGAGCAGCCGTGCCATCGGAGGAATCGTTAATATCAATCAAAGGAATTTCACTGTCAGCGAGGTTAGTAACCTGTCTGTCCCTATCATGCCTGAGCACATTACTACATTAAGGATCGTTTGACTCTCAATGAGATCCCTTGTCCCTTCTGCGATTTCCAACCAGCTGCGTGCTTCGAGGGGACTATACAGGCACCGGCAAAGAGGTTGAATGCCTTTAATCCTTGCTTCCAACTAGCCCTAGATTCAGGATATTGTGTAGGATAGTGAAGCTAAACCAGACTCTGAAGATGTCTTAGTTCTGGCTAAGTGAATGTGGGATTACCCTTGCGTCTCTGGCGGCAACAACAAGACAACAACAACAGAGAAACAGTCCGTTGATTGGAGCAGCGCGGGGTTCATTTTGCCAGGCGGTGAGGTCTATCTCCGCACTGCTCCTGGACAGATTGGTTAGGCGGTGAACTCATTCAGATAACAAGCATACAAAAGTGAATGGAGAAGGCTGGATAAGGCAGCTTAGACTACAAGGCAAGGCATTCATCCTGAGATCAAGTTTCATTCCTACCAAGTAGATGGGTCGCACATCTATAGTGACATCAACGTAAACATGCAGTCGTCAAAGCCACATGTCAGCTTCAGTAGGTAAGGTCAGTAAACCTTGTTAAGGGAACATGCATGTGTTCAGATAAGGTCATGATCATAGCAGAGTGGACAAATCCAGTCAGTATGAAAGAGAGATAATATGTTTGTAATATGCCAATATAGAAGCGAGTACCTCTCTAGTAGAATGGAAAAAGGCACACTATTTCTATCACCAGCTCAAATGGCCAAATTCCCGTCGCAGCGCCTCTAAACTGAGAGTTGTCATATGTGATGGGTCAATCTCGCGTCTATAGGTCTTCAAGATATCCTATCATGACAGTTCCGTTCTTGAGGCCTGCCTCCTCAATGCTCAAATCGAGTGAATCGATTAGATTGCGGCCCATTGAATTGAGCTCAAACTCAACCCCTGCCTTTTCCGGTAAGGGGGGTTCAGCCTTGAGCCATTCGTAAATCCTTCTGACAGGATCGACCAGAGCAAAGCGACGAATGACCCTTCCGGACGGATGGCGAAATTGAATACGTGTAGTAGTAGCAGGATCGGCTGGTGGCTCAGTATGTGGCCGGTTATCCGGAATGGACCAGAACAGTGATGATGCTTCTTCCACTGGTTCCTCGGCTAGATCATCCTCACCCATAAGGACATCATCAGTAGGAGCGGCCTTGCCTTTGCCCTTGACGTCATCAGTACTGCGGGTCAAATCGTCCGGATCCACCACTCTGTGAGTTTGTGCTACCCCGTCTCCCAAGCTATTTCTCATGGCCATCTCTAGCATTTCTTCCTCGGTCATCGTGTCGATGCTCTTTCCCTTCTTTTCAGGTTTTCGCTTCGCCACTGGGTTCCGCACGTTATGCTTGAGACTGTAACGGTCGAGGAATTCATGAAGCTGCATGAGAAATTCCGCAGCCTTAACCACAGGTGGACCGGACCAAACTTTCATTTGCTCGCCCGTCCGGGGATCAACGATGGCTATATGGGGGTAGTTCTCGGAGACATCACTCGCTTGAAAATAGTATTGCAGATAAGGCGTCGCACGTGAATCATCCTTGGAATACTGCAAAAAAATGAAATGTTCTTTGACGGTTTCCTTGACTCCGGGATCTTTCCACAAGTCTCTGTTCAATACTTGACAGTCGAATATGGACTGATCCTGTATGTTGACGAGCAGCCACTTCTCATTTTCACGACCCTCCTGCCGTGCGAGATCCCAAGGTAACCGTGACATGATGTCAAACGGGGGCCGGTACATCTCTGCTAGCATGTTTTGTTTGCTAGAAGCTTCAGATGCTCCGCCTGTAGCCGCTGCAAGTCTTTCGCGATGCGAGCTTTCATCACCACCAGCCCAAATCTCTGCTGTGTCCCTTTGATTGAATATACCAGGTCGACCTAAAGTGCAGATAACAAAGTTAGAAAGCTGCGGAAAGAGTATCGGTAGGGACAATGGAGAACTGTGGGGAAACTGACTGCTTCTTTGCTGGCGCGCACGTAACTGGCCCAATATACTCGCATGCATGTCACCGTCGTCGAAGTCCGCCTCCGGCCCTACGAGCGTTTCCGTTGTGCGGGCTATAGGAGCTCTGACACCATCAGAACTATCTCTTCCGTCACGGTACATTTCTTCTTGTAAACGACGGGCCATAGCTTCATCATCCTCAAACGTCAACCCCTCTGGCTGCCGTGCTCGAGGCGCAGAACGTGCTTCGTCGATGGCAATATCATCATCGGAATCAATGTGTACGACACCGGAGTTGTCCTCGTATCCAGCAGGGCGCGATGGGCTAAGCCCAGTGGCTGATGGAACCGGTTCCTCAGTCAAAGGCGCACCTCCATTCTCAAAATAGAGCTGCATCGCCTGCTCAATATTGAAGTCGGCCAGCTGCAAATACTGAGTCGCCAGCGAAGGGTTTGAGCCGGTGATCTCTGTGAACTGAGCAACCACGTCACTTTCCATGATGGAAGAGTGAAACTGAAGATAGTAGAGGTAAGGAAGGGAAGAAGGGCGATGTGAGCGATATCAGTCTCCAGTGCAGGACAATGGGCGATGGTTCTCCGTTGAAAGGTAAAGTGATGCAAACAGTTGCAAACCGTAAACTTCGAGATGAATGATGAGCACAGCTCCAATATGCGACGGTGTCTCCTGGAATTACTTCAGAAGAAAATGAATGTATGCAGTCGAATCTGATTCAGTGGCAAGGACTTGAAAAGGAGAAAGAAACGCTGATGTGATAGGAACTAGTTTGGAAGGAATGAAACTTCTAGTCTTAAGCATTGAGTACTTCCCCGTCTTCGATCATCCACTCAACAGTGACGCACTTGGCCGTGGCCGCGGGCGATCTGATTCTCCGTTGGCGTAAGATATTCTTTGGTTACCTTACCGTTTCGTGTGTAAGTCGGTACCTCTCTATTAATAATAGTAATTTCCGGCCAAGTTGCCGTCCAGTATCTAGCACGTGACATTCGGCTACTATGCCTTTTCAAGGGCGGTTAGACGCGCGACGCGGTGTCGGTAGAAGACGCGTGAAAGATGTCGCGTAGAAAAGGAATCATGCCTCTTTCGGATGAAGCTCCCGACCCCAACCCTTCAAAGTGAATGCATAACTGCGGGCACATGGCAAGCGTATATCTATTGGAGGACCCTTGCACTTGCCTTATCAACTCTCTTTCAACCCAGCTCTTTCCGAAAATACAAGATATCATCGAGCGTACCTGGTAATGGCCGTCTCGGTCCTGGGCAAGCGCCAACGTGGTGCCATTGAGACAGAAGGTACGATAGGCAGATAGCCACCCAGTTTGCCTCAAGTTCATATACTGACAGTCTTGATATCAGCACCAACACTGCCGCTGCGTAGTTCCAACAGGCGCCGTACGCAACCACCTCGCATCCTCCAGGAAGTGAACGAGCCTTCTGCATCGTCAACGCGCCAACTACGATCACGAACAAGGAATGGCACATACTCGAATCAAGAAAATGACTCCAGCATCAAAATCACGCTTGCCGAGACCGACAAGACCAAGCATGTTGTACGCGTCACTAAGACCGCGTCTCCCTCCAAGATCGGTCCCGAACCGCGGACTTCAGAAGTTGTCAATGGTAGGCTCATAAGCGGGTTTTTGATGAGTTGGTGCTGACGACAGCAGATGAAAATACAAAACCCATCGAGTTCAAAACTCCTTCAAAGTCCAGATACCGAGACGCCCTTGAATCGCCGCCAGTCACCCCGAAGCACAGAGTGCAGGTTGGCGGCAAGTCGATGACTCCGCGCACACCTCGCCAGATATCGAGCCCATCATCTTCTCAGACTATTTATACGGCAGCTAGGCAGCTATTTACGCGAGGGGCAACTTCCGGTCGATTAATTGGACGGGACGCTGAGCGTGAAAAGCTGACCTCATTTATCCAGGAACGCGTTACCTCAAGGAAGGGCGGTTGTCTGTATGTCAGCGGGCCACCAGGTACCGGCAAGAGTGCTATGGTCCGAGAGGTATGTAACGGGCTGGGACTCGACACTGTTCAGGTAGCGCATATCAATTGCGCCAGTATGCGAGGACCCCGAGACGTATACTCGAAGCTCATTGAGGATCTCGGTGACGACGGCCAGGTTTTCAGGAAGAGCGACGTCGATAGGCTAAAAGCCTTGTTTCTTCCTGACAAGAAACATGATGGTCTATTCTTAGTCACCTTGGACGAGATCGACCACCTGCTCACCGCCGATGCTGGAGTTCTACAGTCCTTATTTGAATGGTCTCTAAACAACAAATCGCGTCTGTTACTCATCGGAATCGCCAATGCGCTTGATCTCACCGATCGCTCATTGCCACAATTGAAGGCGAAGAACTTGAAGCCTTGCCTCCTACCTTTTTTACCTTACAATGCTAGCCAAATCGCGAACGTCATCACCAACCGCCTCCGGTCTTTGCTTCCTCCTGATCAGGATGTGGAACCGACTTTTGTGCCTTTTGTCCAGCCTGCAGCTATACAGCTGTGCGCGAAGAAAGTTGCATCCCAGACCGGTGACCTGCGAAAAGCGTTCGAACTTGTCAAATGTGCCATTGATCTTATTGAACAAGAGACGCTACAAAAGCTGGAGAAGCAGAGCTCCAGTGTTGATAGCGCCTCCAAGACTATCCTGGTCGAAAATAATAACCTCTCATCCCCGGCCAGAACTTCGATATCCAAGCAGAACCCCACCACAACATATACTATTCTTACGGCACCACGCGCAAGCATCGGACATATAGCTCGCATTACTTCATCTGCCTTTGGACAAGGAACCGTCCAACGGCTTCAGGCGCTCAATCTACAACAAAAAGCGGCTCTCTGCTCTCTCCTCGCCCTGGACAGGAAACGGCGCGAGAGTGATCTCACTGGCACGCCGTCCAAAATCAAGATGTCGGCGCCTACTATCAAACAGATCTTCGACACTTATTGCACGCTGTGTCGAAAAGACAATATCCTCCATCCCCTGACGGCTACTGAATTCAAGGATGTCATCAGTAATTTGGAGACGTTAGGCCTCGTCGGTGAATTCCAGGGCCGAGGCCGAGGTGGAACGGTTTCGGGCGGCTCTGATATCAGACGCACTCCCTCAAAGTCGGGCTGCGGGATGATGAGTCCACGAAAAGGAATGGATGAGCAGGGCCTTGTCTGCTTTGTTTCACAGAAGGAAATCGAGAGCCAGATTGCTGGCCCGGGAGAAGGCATTCTCAGAAGATTACTCATGGGTGAAGGTCTGTAATCCCATCAGCTTCAGGCCCAGAGGCACTGAAGGACATATGCCATGTTGGGGACTTTTGAGCGTTGGTTTATTAGCATTCTGTATGGGCGTCTAGGATTGTTGGTTGGGGTCAAAAAACAAGCATAACTCAAGGACTTTGGGCTGGGCGCTCCTGTATTAGACACCAATATATGGTTACAATGAAAGAGTCGATCAAGATCATGATTTTACAAGATGACACTCCGCGGACTTCTACGAGTAGAGTAATGCCCTGATGGAAAGAGAAATACTATATAACAAGTTTCACAATCGCTCTCGATAAGTTCAACACGATTTGAAAAGTAGTTTCAAGGGGAGGAACAAAAGTAATAACGGAAGGAATGACGACAGAAGAGTATCTGGATAGACATGATAAAGATACATGATGAAATGGGTATGTGTTAAGGGGCAAAAGGGCTGTATGCATGAATACAGAGAACAGTCGAAAAGAAAACAGAGAATCGAAAAGCAATCCCATCGCCAGCTCGACTAACAAGACCTGCCGAAAGCTCGAGCGGTGATGTTCATATGATCTAACCTTAGTCTGCAGGGTAAACTCAAGCCTCGCTCGAATCTGATCATGACAGCGTTGACAGCATGAAGACATCGATGTCCTGAACGTCTAATCATCCATAGGTCTATCCTCCAAGGTCACACCCTTGGGTTCGCTTTCAGCAAGGCTGTTCCGCTTGCTGTCCGGTTCTGATTCCGCGCTTGCAACCGCGGGGAAGCTGGATCGGTTGCCGAGACCGGGTTTGCGGTTGAACATAGCACCAGAGCGTGGAATCGAGCTACGCTTTTCCGGCTCGCCTGGAGCTGTCACATAGCCGGGCGTGGGAGTAGGAGTCGGAGAGCCGTCAGAGTTACCTGCAGGCGGAGGACTAGATGATTCTGAGGAGGCATTCTCTCCGGCGGCGGCAGAGGCTGGGGAATCGCTGGATGTGCCATTAGTGGCGCTATCGTTGGTCTGGATGTTCACGTTTGTGAATTGCTCTCCTGTTGTGGGAGCTTCAGTGTTGGCCGGGACTTCCAAACTGCTCCTCGTGGCTGCTTTCCTTTCGGTCGGGCTAGTGACGTGGATTGGAAACCGTCCAGCCTCCGAAGCACCACTGGAGCGGTCTCGCCGATGCTTGCGGGGAGGAGCGGGGCTATTGGCACGACTGCGGTCTACGATAGCACGGTTCCTTGCCTCCATTGCAGCACGGCGGTTGCTCTCATCTGTGCTAATGGCACGTGGGCGATTGGATGTTGAGCCTAATCCAAGCACGCTCGATTGACGTTTCAGCTCGCCGAAGATAGCATCCTTGTGAGCGAAGAGGTCACGAATAAGACGGTAGTTGTGACGTTCATTCATCGTAAGGCTGTTCTCAACACGAGGGCGGAGGATGCAGGGAGCCAGTGTTTGCGCCAATGCGGAGATATATGCCTCGTCGGCAGATGTTAGGTCGATAAGTCGCGTGAAATGGGTCATGATGGCGTCAAGTGTAGCGATGTTGTTGAGACGAAGCTGACCAAGGGTGCTTTGCAGAACTTTGATTCGTCCGTCTTCCGTCGTTTCATGAGCCGTAGTTGAATAAATAGTCTTGACAATCTCATATACTTGCGAAGAAACAAGGGAATCTAGTAAGAAATTAGGTCGATGAACTAGAACACCTCCACCATCTCTCGATACGGACCTGGTAGTTCAAGAAGGTACAATTTCAACACGCTGGCGACAATGGGTATATCATATTTCTGAAGGATTTCGTTGTAATCCGCTTTGCTGTTATTCAATGCATTGCGAAGGTGATGCGTTGCGGCCAAAGGAACATCGTATAACCAGATCGCACGGCGTGCCTCATCACCTTCGAGTTCGGGATAATCTGAGAAGATTGGTTAGTTCAAATGCACTTGGGTAGGAGAAAGGATACCGTTGGCCTACGATTGTCTAAGTACGTTAGTAGAGTCGTCACAAGAATTGGAACTCTCTTCCGATCAGCTCGAGCTCTAGCCTCAAGATCGACCCCGAAATTTTGTTCTACAAGAGTGAGAAACCGTAGTGCACACGATATAAGCCTATCGGGATGTAACCATACCTTCGACGGATCCGTAATAATTCTCATAGGCTTGGACCCGCGGGACAAAACCGCCTGTACGATAATTTTCCAGCAGATAGCGTAGATCCCCCAGCGGCTGAATTGTCTCTTGATAGAGCATCATGTGATCGACGGTGCTTTGCAAGTTTGGAATGACGTTGCTGATGGCACCCGAGAAGTCGAGAACGACCGCCTTGATCGCTTTGAGACGATCCAGCTCACACTGCTCCATGAAGCGGAGATTCTCCACAATTTCTTCTTCGAGCTTACATCTGATCTGATCCAGTTTCCGCACAGCGGCTCTGTACCGTTCATCGGCTTCGCGCGCCTCCCTTCGTAGCTTATCAGCGGGAGTCTCGTTCGGGTGTGGGTTATTGAGAGGATTCCAGCCCGCGAGCATCTCTGATACGGAAGCAATCGGTGATTCACTGCCGTCTTCACTGGACGCAATCGACGTCACGCGCATCAGAGGCTTCTTTTTCTCGGGAATTCCCGTGATTTGGAACACTTTTGGGCGCCATTGATAGTTCATCTTGGAGCTGTTGGCGAAAGTGCTGCCTATATTGCCCACCAGGCGCAGAAATCCATTATCGACCAGATCCTGACCGATTCTCTCGGCATAGCTGACGCTGGTTCCATTCATGTACTTTTGAATATACTCCACGATATCAGCACCGTTGGATGTATTCTGATAAGTTCCAATGATAGGCACTTTGACCTCCCCAACCTTGATATTATCAAGCATGTGTATCAGGAGCTTCTTGAGGTCCTCGGGGGCGTAGACTCGATCTCCCAGCTCGATCGGCTCCTCCTCCTCCTCTGCTTGTTCTTCCGGCAGAACAATCTTGGGTGTCGCCTTGACCTTGGGGCTGGTCTCAGGGTCCTGGAAAGCCAACTTGTTTTCTTCTTCCAGATCCTCTACCACCCGGCACTTGTTAAAGTAGTGGCTCCGTAGCTTCTTGGTAAGTTCCACCTGCTTGGTATGCTCCTTAATCCGGGCCTGAAGATCATCATGGGAGTTCTGAATTCGAGCCTCGTGCTGGTCACACCATCGTCTGAAGGGGGAAACGACGAGTTCACGGATGTTCGACGCAATCTTTTGATGGTTTTTGGAGGCCTCAATCATTTCCGAGCGAACACCTTCATACGCCTGAGAACGCATACGATCAGCAAGTGAGCCCCCCTCGAAAGGGCGAAGAACAACCTACCTTTCTCACGCTGGCCCCATCGTCTTTCGCAAACCCTGCTGTCATGCGATCAACGTTGGGCGCGATTTCCCCTAGCTTGAGACCATACTGCTCCTCCGCATCCGCTCGCAAGCTCGCAATAGTGAGAATCTGCCTGTTTTCGATGACACCCTGTTGGAGTTTCCCATACAGCACCCCAAGACCGGTAGCATAGTCCGGTGTCCAAAATGAATCCGCGAAACCAGGCATTTTTTCGTTCCCAAGGTGTCCACTGCAGCACTGGCCTGGGTAGCTTGCGGAAATATTATCGAGCGAGATTAGAGCGACTGCCGCGCCGGGTATCTCGAGGTAGACGGAAGGTCGAAGGAAAGAATGACTTGTGCCGTGCCCGAAACTTCACACAAATACACGCTGAGATACTCCCGAGACAGCCTCGACACCAGAAAGGACTAATTAAAATGCGAAAGGGGTAATGAGTGACCAGACTCTTCCGAACCGCTTCTTTTTATCGCACTTGCAAATCCCAGAGTAGAACAAATCGGCTGCGAGCAGGCATGGGCTCGAGGAGGATGTATATGAGGGCGCCTAACGATCGACCAGAGCGGGCGTTTAGCAGGAGTGAGAGCTAGACGAAAGCGAAAAAGAACGTTGCCAACGAAATTGAAGTTAAAGGAGAGTTCAATTGTACAACCCGTTTTCTGAACGCGACGACAACAGCAACATGGAGTGGACAACAATACAGAGATTAATGAGTTTGTCTCGCTGGCCGAGATTCTAACAAGAGTCTGGGTTGGCCGTTTGGACTGCCGTCATGTAATTAAGCTACGGTAAAATTACGCGGTTTGGGCTCCCAGGCGCCACGTTGTTTTCTCCTCCAACCTCTGGACCTTAGCTGAAGTCTCTATTTTTGGGTATGTTAGAGAGGTAGGATGGCTTGGAAGGCCGAAAGATTACAACGCTTAACACCCCGGGAGAACACTTGTGGCTGATATGATACAAATCTTACAGTACGCGGTAATAGCCACCGACCTTAGCGGTTTTCTTCTCAGTAAAGCCATTACGACGCTTTATTGCCTTAGGCAGACGCATTGTCCGTCCTAACAATGCTCAACCGGTAGTCGTGGAACACTGCTTGCGGTGATATGGATTGGACAAGAAAACTAGACCTGCATGATTCAATAAAGTAATAATTCCTTGATGATTGGATTGATCTGCAATATCGGATTTAAATTCCTGATACACAGTCATGGGTCGAGGCTGTCAAAGCCGAGATAGAGTGACATCATGAATGTACAGAAGCAGAAAAGAAAAATAAAAACACCGCAAGAACGTCACGCGTGTCTCAGAGAAGAGAGCTTCTATGAACTACACATCGTCTCTAGCAGAAGGTCTTATAAACCTTCTTCCATACGGGCCAAGCGGCCTGTTCAGCACGTTCCTCCTCAATCAGATGCTGGATATCCAACTCCCGACGACCAGTGTGCAAGTCCATGTCTTTAGCACGCAGGAAGGACGTCTTGTAATAGAACTTGTAAGCGAAGTAGAAAACAAGAACAACAGGCGCGGCCAGGTAGACGGAAAACCAGCTCTCAACCAGCTCGCCTGAAGTCATGTCGCTGTAACCGATAGGTGCAAAGCCGACCCAGAACTGGGCAACCAGCACAAGACAATTGAAGATAAACCCAATCCAGGAGCCGACAAGACCCGCCTGAGATTGGAA